CTTAATGTGCTTGCCAACCTGGGAGTCGCCTCCCCGTCCATCACAGTCTCTTAGATTCTTCCAACCAGTTTTATGAAATAACCTGTTCCTTCGCGCTGGTCTTAACACTTGCTTTACTGGAGTATTTGTGTGTGTGTTGAGGAGGGGGTCACAGGAAATAAATCACAGCTCATGCATGGATTATTTTCAGAGCTGCAGCGCATGCGTGAGTTTACCGGCCGCTTTTTCATCCGGGGTGTGTGTGTGTGTGTACAACCGTCAAAACACCTTTATTCTGTGTTTTCTAGCATAGCCCAGAAGCACACGAGTATATTGCAAAAAAAAAAAGAAGCTATTTTTTTAAGGGACTTTTGTGGCGAAGATGTGGCGAATGGTGATCGGCAGCCCGTGGGATTGGCCTCGTGGCTTAAAAGTGGAGTGTCGTCGGGGAACAGGGAGAGAGGTCCACTTCTCCGGAAGTCCTGTTTCGTGCGCTGCCAGTAGCATTTGTGAGAGGAGGTTTTAGTCAACGGACGTATGGTTCTCTTTAAAGCACAGGTTTAAAAGAATTCAGGAAGGAGGGCTTTTGGGGGCGAACGTGTGCACATCTGGTGGCCCTTGGGGGAAATGAGGGCATTTCGTAGATGAGAAACTTCACGTTACGTGCTGTTTGTTCTCTACGCCTCCGCCCGCCCACCCTTAATTGTGCATGACACAGAATCAGGCCTTCGAAAACAAAACACCAAGGTTACAAACCACTCTGCTGAATCTAGCCTGGCAAACAAGTCGTTGAAACTTGTTGTCCTACAGAACCCCTGTTAGATATTTGGGCCCCTGAACAATGAGTAGGTTTGCCCAGGAGAGTTCTCAACTCCACCCGAGATGAACAGCAGTTTAGTAGCTCAGTTTGAATAAACAAGAAAAACTCGGGTGGGGGGTGGGGGGAGTTGGATTTTGTGAGGATCCTCTTCGGTAGGAAAACCCCCTCTCCAAACACTTTCCCTTCCAATTCATAAACCTTTCTGTGAAGGTAAGCCCTAGCTAACTATTGAAGCCCGGCTAGACAGTGGTGGTTTCTGGAACAGAGAGAGGAGAGTTGGGTAGAACACCTCAGCGAACGTGTTCCCCAACATTTATGGCCTTTTGAGAGAGACTGCTGGCCCTTTGGGGGCCAGTTAAGACGAGTTCTGGTGTTTTGCTCTGTAGAGGAGTTGAAGTCTGCCTTGCCGAATGGGGAGAGGCGATAAGGGAATTTGGGTCAGCGATGGGAAATTGCTATTGCTCAGGAATTAATTTCTAAAATGTAAAAAAAAAAAATCCATTTGAAAATGGGTTTTAAGAGTACCCATTTTGATAGAGGTGGGGGTTTACGGGATGTGTTCCTCTCCTAGGGAATAGGAAATTGCTCTATACTCATTAGCCCATGAAAATTATTTAAAGATCCACACTCTCCTCAAAACATGTCTTGGGTTTCTTTTTCTGTTTTTTTTTTTTAAAAAAACACCACCCGTTGCTTAAATTTAATGTCATTCTTCCATAGAATTCACATGAGATCTTCTGTCGTGTATGTATATATGTATGTAATAATTTTATCTATATATATTTTACCACCGTTCCCATTCTTTGCACTGCAAAAAGAATAAATAAAAATGCTGGGGGTGGGTGGGTTTCCTGACCTCCTCTACTTTTGATCTCCCCCCCGAGTCCCCATGCGCAGTTCACCCCGATTTGTAATTTGAAAAAAAAAAAAGGCTTTGAAGTTTTGTCTTTATATATTAAAAATGTATGTATTTTAATACTGTACCACTGTTGTAGTGCTTACATCTGTTTTAAAAAGAGCTCTGGCAGTTTTAGAGAATGAATCGCTCAGGAATGACTGGCTTTTTTTAAAAAAAAAAGAGGAGAGCTGGCCATAGTAGAGGGGTTTTATCAAGGGCCGTTAGCCACAATAGCAAAAATGAAGCCAGTTTGGTGTAGAGGTTAAGTTCCCCACTCCTCCACTTGCACCTGGCTGGATGACCTTGGGCAAGCCGTAGTTCTGACAAGAGCTGTCCTTGAAAAAGAGCAGTTTCTGTCAGAGCTCTCTCAGCCCCACCTACCTCACAGGGTGTCTGTTGTGGGGAGGGGGAGGGAAAGGAGTTTGTAAGCCGCTCTGAGACACCTTTGGGTAGTGAAGGGAGGGGTATAAATCCAATCTCTTCTCTTCTTCTTTTACCTCACAGGGTGTCTGTTGTGGGGAGGGGGAGGGAAAGGAGTTTGTAAGCCGCTCTGAGACACCTTTGGGTAGTGAAGGGAGGGGTATAAATCCAATCTCTTCTCTTCTTCTTTTACCTCACAGGGTGTCTGTTGTGGGGAGGGGGAGGGAAAGGAGTTTGTAAGCCGCTCTGAGACACCTTTGGGTAGTGAAGGGAGGGGTATAAATCCAATCTCTTCTCTTCTTCTTTTACCTCACAGGGTGTCTGTTGTGGGGAGGGGGAGGGAAAGGAGTTTGTCAGCCGCTCTGAGACTCCTTTGGGTACTGAAGGGCGGGGGATAAATCCAATCTCGTCTTCTTGAAAAAGAGCAGTTTCTGTCAGAGTTCTCTCAGCCCCACCCACCTCCCAGGGTGTCTGTTCTGGGGAGGGGGAAGGGAAAGGAGTTTGTGAGCCGCTCTGAGACTCCCTTGGGTACTGAAGGGTGGGGTATAAATCCAATCTCTTCTTCTTCTCTAGCCAAAGTCAGTCTGCCTTGGAATAAAAGCAGTGGCAGTTTGCGGGCTTCCTGAAGACATCAGATTGGCCACTGTTGGCAAAAGGATACGGGACAAGATGAACCGGCAAATGCCTTTTTCTATGTCACGAACACCCTCTGAATCGTTCAGTTGGTTCCAGGAACTGGAGGAAGAAGGGGTGGGGATGAAAACCAGGAATTTGGGGTGAGTGGGTGGCACTCTCAAGCAATGTTCCCTCTAAGCTGTGGAGTCTTGTGAGCAAAAATTCTACTTTGTGAGCTACTGGCATGAAAGTTGTGAGTGAGTGATATGGCTACTGCATCAATTAGTTTGCTCTGGAGCCCTCCTTTCTGAGCTTAGACAAAATTGTGTGAGCCAGAGGCTAAAAAACTGTGAGCTAGCTCACACTAACTCAGCTTAGAGGGAACACTGCTCTCAAGGCTGTGGTCACACCCACTAAATAATCCACTTTCAGTGTACTTTCCAACTGGATTTTGCCTGTTCACACAGTAAAAAATCCAGCTGGAAAGTGCACTGAAAGTGGATTGAAAATGGGATTATTTAGCATGTGTGACCGCAGCCTAAGGTTACAATCAGAGGTCAGCTAATGCGAGTTCCTCTGTTTTGCTGAACTCCGGAGAGTATTTTGACTGCTCAACTAGTGGGGATGAAAATGAAGAGCTTACTGCCTCAGATCTCTCATATGCACACAGGGATTCTAGCTTGCTCTGGAAGTCCTCTAACTCGGGCCTGAAGTTAGGAATGGGCATCCTAAATGGTATCCTTGATTTTTTGATACTGGGCCTGGACCTTCCTCTGTCAACTCCCGGGGTTTGGCGGGTTTTTTACATTGCAAGGAACGTGGCTGCCCAGGATGAGAAGGGGGAACGCAAAAGGATGGAGGACTTGGAACACATGAAGCCGCCCTACGCGAAATCAAACCATCGGTCCACCAAAGCCAGTGTTGTCTACTCAGACCAGCAGCGGCTCTCCGGGGTCCCAGGCTGGGGTCTTTCGCTTCACCTACAACCTGATTTTTTTAACTGGAGAGGCCGGGGATTGGGGGCCTTCTGCATGCCAAGCCAGACGCTCTGCCTGTGAGCCGTGGCCCCTCAGTTTGCTTGAGGCAAAATGGGGTGTGGGGCTCCTGCAACCTGAGCTTGGAACCTCTTTCCCCATAAATACACGACCCAGCTGGAATGAGGGTTCTAAGGCTGCCGAAAGGACTTCTGGATCTAGGGAGCTGCATGGCTCAAAGAACAAATGTTAAAGAGTCTGCTTTCACGTTCTCTCTCTCTCACACACACAAAGCAGCATCAGCCTGTATCACTTTTAACAGCCTTGGCCAGTGTTGCACAAGTAGGGGGGACTGTGAGCTGGATGGAATAGCTGCTAGGCTTCTGCTGTGTTCAAGCCCCACTCTGCCCTCGTCAGGTGGCAACCCCCCCCCATCTCTGTTTCTGTGACTTTAAAGCCAGCAGCCATTAGGGACTTTAGGGTCCTGACCCCACAGGTTTAAACAAACCGAAGGGCAGGTGCAGTTATCTGCGTGGATTCGAGGCAGAGCTTGTCCTTTCCCGAAGCCGTGTGCTGTGTACAGATTTTCCTTTCTGCCCCCCCCCCCCCCACCCTTTTATGCATGAGCCAGCTGCCTGGTTGGTTTTTTAGAGGCCTCAAGATATGCCTGACATGCCATTTTTCTTCACAACAGCCCTGCGGGATCGGTCCAAAGTTATGCAGGCTTTCCTAGCCGCAGTGCTCCACCAGCTCTTAAAGACTACACACCACTCCTCTTATAAATTAAACTTAACGGTTTTTATTGGGGGGGGGGGAAGTGACATCATGGCACACACAGGTCCCTTTCTCGCTCCAAAGAACAGCAGTGGCAATTGGCCACTGACACTGCAGCCCATAAGGGGGGAACCAGGAGAGATTTTGGATGCTGGTGGGTAATGCTAAGACCCCCCCCCCCAAAAAAAAAAGCTTCATGAGTGCTTTAGCCAACCACCTACTAAGTGAAGAAGGTCAGGGGAGTGTCCTGAATGCCCGCAAAAATTTCACAGCGTCTGTTACATACATTCAACAAGACAGGGGAATTGTGTGCTCTATTGAAGTAAGGGAATGCTGCCATGGGCTCGGAAAGACTCTGCTGTGCCCATTTTGGGGCCGGCCTAAGTTTGGCAGAGACAGTGGCTGCGCTGCGTGGGGGCAAGCCGCAAATCCCAGACTAGCAAAGCGCCAGTGCTGCTCTGCTTGAACACTGCCCATGCCTTTCAGATCCGATCCAAAAAGTTGACAGAATTGGGGGCCGTCGGATGCCAATGTTTTGAGGGTGTACAATCTATATCCTGCAAAACCTCCCCTAGTCATATGGAGTTACCCAATCATGTCCCAGATTTCTGAGCGGCCCAGACTCAAAACCAGAGGTGCCTTCAGTCCTTGGTTCTCTCAGCCAGGTGAGCACCGATCTAGAGCACCTCATGCAGGGAGGTGACCGGCAGCTTCCACCTGTGTCATATCAGAAATGACTGAACGCTCTCTTTGTTACTTGCCACCCACCAAAAGCTGAACAAATTGAAGCAGCCGGAGCCGCAGCAGGCGTCTCACGGTTAGGTTTACAGGGCCTACTAAATTTCTCCAAGCACACAATTTGGAAATTAAAGGTAATATCGAGGTAGGTTGTTTTTTTCCCCCCAACCAAGGACTGGAAGCAACACCAGTGAGCACCTAGATAGGTCGGAGGAGCCGCGTAGAGCTGAGATTCCCTTATTTTAAAAAAAACCCTATAAAGCCGCCTCTGCTTGAAGGCAAAAACCAACGGGCGAATGTCACTTGGCTAAATTCCAGTGTACGGCCGCCTCCTTCCCACTGAGGGGGCTTGGCAATTCAGTCCTCGTGGCCAGTGTGGGGGGGCCAACGGTCCGGGCTCACAGCTTCCCTACGCCCAGCTGGAAACGAGCTTCTTCGGAGATGCCGTACTGCTCCAAAGGATCCTGTGGCCAAGGGGAGAAAGGGACAGAGAGTGGGCACCCTGGCAGAGAAGGCGGCAAGGAGGGATGCGTGGCACCAGCAAAGGGCACGCCTCTCCGCCAACTTCCCTGGAAGCATGCAATACCCATCCACCCCACCACCAAGAATGCCAGTCTTTTTTCACAAGACAAGAACTCCTGGGCACTCCATGAAACTCCTCAGTGGTCGGGTTAGAACGGATAAAAGGAAGTCCTTCTTCACCCAAAGAGTGATTAGCACATGGAATTCACTGCCACAGGAGGTGGTGGCGGCTACAAGCACAGACAGCTTCAAGAGGGAGCTGGATAAACATATGGAGCAGAGGTCCATCAGTGGCTATTAGCCACAAGGTATAGATTGGAACTCTCAGTCTGGGGCAAGTGATGCTCTGTATTCTTGGTGCTTGGGGGGGGGGTGTCAACAGTGGGAGGGCTTCTACTGTCCTGGCCCCACTGCTGGACCTCCTGATGGTACCTGGTATTTTTGGCCACTGTGTGACAGAATGTTAGACTGGATGGGCCATTGGCCTGATCTAGCATTGGCTTCTCTTATGTTCTTATGTTAATGACTTCCAAGAGCCATAAGCTGACCCTACGCTCCGCTGCTTCCTCCAGATGCAGCTGCCTGGCCTCATAAATTGAGTCTTGGCCATGGTGGGGGGGAGTAACTCTTGATGCCAGCAGGCATGACCCAAGCCACAAAGCCCCTGATTGGCACTCTCTGGCCTCAGCTGGGCGTTCCCATTAGGGATGTGCATTCGGTTTGTCCGAACCGAATGCACCCCCGGAAATGGCGCATTCAGACCCCTTTCGGGCTGCTGCAGGCCGATTCAGATTCTGAATCGGCTTGCCTCCGAATTGCTGCCGAATTTCGATGGCAATTTAGCCCCATTATATCCTATGGGCCATTGAAGTCAATGGTGAAAACATAGGGTAAATTCTGGGGGCTGGAGGGGAGGGGGTTTGAGGGAGAGGCTCCAAACTCGCAGGGTAGCTGCTGGAGCCTCTCCCCAAGATACCAACCAAGGTTCAAGAACATTGGACCAGGGGGTCCAATTCTACTGCCCCCCAAACAGGTTGCCCCTATTTCGTCCATTGTTCTCCATGGTGGGAAAAAAGTAACTTTTTTTCCCACCATGGCCCATAGGATATAATGGGGCTGAAACTGACATTCAGCTGGCGGAAAGACTCCTGAATAGGCTGGTACTGCCGAAATTGACATGCCGGCCGAAATTGATTCTGCCCGATTCGGCGGAATCCGAATCCGGCTGAATTTTTTTATTTTTTTTTTGCACACCCCTAGTTCCCATCCCAGCTCTGTCCTCTTGTCCCTTTAATGAAGCTGCCGTGTACTGAATCACACCATCGGTCCATCAAGGTCAGCCCTGTCTAGTCAGTACTCCCCAGCAATGCTCCCTCTAAGCCATGGAGTCTCGTGAGCAAGAAGTCTACTTTGTGAGCTGCTGGCATTAAAGTGGTGAGCGAGCAATCTGGCTGCTGCCTAGATTAATTTGCTCTGTCCTGAGCTAGGACAAAAACGTGCAAGCTAGAGGCTAAAAACTGTGAGCTAGCTCACACGAACTCAGCTTAGAGGGAACAATGCCCCCCCGGGGTCTTGAGCTGAGGTCTTTCCCATTGCTTACCCACCTTGTCTATGGTCGAATCGGACCAGCAATCCATCAAGAAGGAGGAGGAGATTGGATTTATACCCCGCCCTTCACTACAAAGGAGTCACAGAGTGACTTCCAATCCCCTTTCCCTTCCTCTCCCCACAACAGACACCCTGTGAGGCAGGAGGGGCCTGAGAGAGCGCCGAGAGAACTTGCGACTGACCCAGGGTCAACCAGCTGGCTGCACATGGTGGAGTGGGGGATCAAACCCGGTTTTCCCAGATTGCAGTCTGCTGCTCCGAACCACTACACCAAACTGGCTGGTGGCCAAGTACTGTCTACTCGAGGTGGTCAGTACTGCCTACTCAAGACTGGCAGCAGCTCCCCGGGGTCTCAGGCGGAGGCCTTCTCCCGTCACCTACCCCTTTTAACTGGGGATACCTGGGACTGAACCTGGCACCTTCTGCATACCGAGCAGACGCTCTGCCGCTGAGCCACGGCCCCTCCCCACGAACGCCACCCCAAAGCCCCCGCTCACCTTCCCCGTCATCTTCTGGATCTCGTTCCGATAGAACACCAGGCTGCTTCGCATGAACTCGTAACTGCAGGCGGAAGGGAGAACGGAACGGCTGACCTCACAGCTTCCAGAAGGTATGGGTGGGGGGCGAGGGGGAGCGGGGCATGACTGGTCACAGAGCAGTCCGAGAGAAGGGTGCAGGGGTGGCATGAGTGGGGAGAGCCGAGTTCGGATCCTCCATTCTGTCACAATGCTTCCTGGGACGGCTGCACTCCGCCTAGCTAACCTCATGAGAATTGTCGGTCTGTACTTAAATTGGGGAGCTCCGGTGGCTCAAGTGGTTAAGACGCTGAACTGCAGGCTGTGGAAGGTCAGTAGTTCAGCAGTTCGAGACCCGAGTGTGCCGCATGACGGAGTGAGCTCCCGTCTCTACTTCCAGCTCCTGCCAACCTAGCAGTTCGAAAGCAAGAAATTGCAAGTAGATAAATAGGTACCACTTCGGTGGGAAGGTAACAGCGTTCCGAGCGCCTTGGTGTTTAGTCATGCCGGCCACATGACCATGGAAACGTCTTCGGACAGCGCTGGCTCTTCAGCTTTGAAATGGAGATGAGCACCGCAACCCTAGAGTCGGATTCGACTGGCTTTCGAGCAAGGGAACCTTTACCTTTACTTTTTACTTAAATTGGGGGGGGGGTGTTTCCCCTAGGTGTGTGTTTTTTTTTTATAGGGGGGGGGGGGGGGGACCCCCTAGGTGTGTGTCACCCTGAGCTCCTTGGACAAAGGACGGGATAACATGATGGGGGGACAGAGGAGAGGTGGGTTTTCCAGTGTGCAATTGCCAGGAGAAGCCAAGATGCATCCTGCCCTAAGCAGACTACATAAGAGAAGCCGAAGATAACCTAACACCATTTCTTGTCAAACTAGGATTGCCAGATTTCGGTGGTGGAGTCTGGGGAGGGTGGGGTCTGAGGAGGAGAGAGACCACAGTGGGGTATAATGCCACGGAGTCCACCCTCCAAAGCAGCCAATTTCTCCAGGGGAACGGATCTCTTGTACCTAGAGACCAGTTGTGGTTCCGGGAGATCTCCAGCCGCCACCTGGGGACTGGCAACCCTGTCTCAGGGACCCCAAAAGTGGGCTTACGACTTTCTCTGACGTGGGTCGCTAGGCCAGAAAGGAGGAGGAGGAAGAGGGGAAGGGGGAGAGGAAACTTTTAGGAAGTCGAGGGGCCAAGGCGCTTTGTGGCAGGCAGAACTCCCCGGGGAATGAAGCGAGGCGTCTCAGAATTGACCACCAGCTTCAGGGTGGCAATGGGACCCGGAGTGTCAAACAGTGAAAGGCATCCTGGCACAGATCAGCTCCGGAACACCCGTCTGCAATGGAAGCAGGGATTTGCTCTCCAGAAGGAGCGGACAGGACCGACAGGGAGGGTGGGAAACATCCCCTCCGCTACGAAACAAAGCGGGTTTAACAAATCCTCGCACCTATATCAGAACCTGAATTGGTGAAGTGACTCTTCTCACCAGCCCTTCCCTGTGATTGCAGGAAAGAGGCCCTGAATTCTTATATATCTATGTCCTATTTCACTTTCCCTTCTTTTCTGTATGATAGTTATATAAATGTGATAACAGTGCAGATGCTTGGAAAATTCTCCAGAGCTCTTTCCCCCCCCCCCCTCCAACCGCAAGTGAGCTTGGGTCCCGGCTAGGATTTCTGCCCGGGGAGCGTGACTGAAATTCCCTCCCAGCACTCTTCCAGGGGAGCCCCCAGGACCCCGATTTTGGGGGGGAGGGAGCCGAGTGGGCTACCGTGGCAAGCAAGGAAACAGCATTCCACAGCTGCAGATCTTTGTGCTCGCGGAACCACTGGCCGGGGACACAGGACTGGAACAGGGTGTGCAGGCTCGGAGAAAAGGGCTTCACAGAAAGAGGATGACGCTTTTAGCATCATAATCCCCCCCCCAAAAAAAGATAATGTCTTAGGAAGTGCTGGAAGGACACTGGACAAAACCATCTGCCTCTACCACTGGGCCTGACGAATTCTAGGAAAGATGGAAAACTGTTCAGAAGTCGTTTTCCCCCTGGGGGGTTGGCGGGCTGAGCTCCGCTGGCAGCAATATCCAGCTAAGGTTCGTCCTCTAAGGAGTTCCACCAAGTGGACCTGCCTCTCCCCTTCACAACCACCTTGTGAGGTAGGCCAGACAAAGAGGCTACCCAAGGGCCTTCCTGGTTGAGTGGGGCCTTGAACCCTGAGCCTCCCAAATCCTAGTATGACAAGAGAAAAAGAAGAGGAGGAAGAGATTGGATTTATACCCCACCCTTCACTACCCAAAGGTGTCTCAAAGCGGCTTACAAACTACTTTCCCTCCCCCTCCCCTCCCCACAACAGACACCCTGTGAGGTAGGTGGGGCTGAGAGAGCTCTTGATCGAAACTGCTCTTTTTCAAGAACAGCTCTTATCAGAACTATGGCTTGCCCAAGGTCATCCAGCCAGGTGCAAGCAGAGGAGTGGGGAATCAAACCCGGTTCTCCCAGATTAGAGTCCGTGCACTTAACCATGACACCAGACTGGCTTCGCTACCTGAAGGAGTCTCAGAGCGGCTTACAATCTCCTCTCCCCTTCCCCTCCCCACAACAGACACCCCGTGAGCAATGCTCCCTCTAAGCTGTGAAGTCTAGGGAGCAAAAATTCTACTTTGTGAGCAATTGGCACTGAAGTTGTGAGCGAGCAATTTGGCTACTCCGTGCATCCATTTGCTCTGGAGCCCTCCTTCCTGAACTAAGACAAAAATGTGTGAGCTGGAGGCTAGAAAACTGCGAGCTAGCTCACACTAACTCAGCTTAGAGGGAGCACTGCTAGGTGGGGCTGAGAGAGCTCTCTCGAGAACGGCCCTTGAGAGAACAGCTCTGAGAGAACTTGTGACCGACCCAAGGACACACCAGCAGCTGCATGTAGAGGAGTGGGGAATGAAACCCGGTTCTCCCAGATTAGAGTCCACCACTATTCACCACTACACCAAACAGCCCCACTGGCTGAAAAAGCATTTGAGGGGCCCTGACGTGCATCTGCTACGAAAGAAGGTTGCTTTGGGAGATCGCGCACTGAAGGACGTTCCGGGCATCCTTTGGATGTTCTGTGAGAGCTGTGGGACCCGGAGCCTTCCCCCCACGGCAGCATGAAGGATCGATGCAGGCAGCCTCACCTGGCTCTCCGCAGCACCTCGATCCATTCCTGGCACTGCTCGGCGGTGTCACACTCAAAGTAGTACTTCCTGTCGGGCTCTTCGAGAAAACCTGGATAGGCAAAACCAACACCCGCCCGTCAGTGTTCCCTCTAAGATGAGTTAGTATGAGCTAGCTCACAGTTTAGCCTCTGCCTTAGCTCAGGAAGGAGGGCTCTGGAGCAAGCTAATTTATGCAGCTGCCAAATCGCTCGCTCACAACTGCCAGGAGCTCGCAAAGTAGAATTTTTGCTCACAGGACTCCACGGCTTAGAGGGAGCATTGCCACCCGTCCCATTGTGAAGAAGAAGGGATTGGATTTATCCCCCGCCCTTCGCTACCCAAAGGAGTCTCAGAGCGGCTTACCATCTCCTTTCCCTTCCCCTCCCCACAACAGACACCCTGTGAGGTAGGTGGGGCTGAGAGAGCTCTTTCAAGGACTGCTCGTGAGAGAACGACTCTGAGAGAACTTGAGACTGACCCAAGGTCACACCAGCAGATGCATGTGGAGGAGTAGCTTCACTCCCCCAGGAGTTGAGGCAGGCTCTTCAAACCCACGAATCCAACGTGAACAGCAACAGGGGCCTCGGCTGCCTCTGCCCCTTAGGCAGCACTCTCCTCTTTCCTCTCTCAGCGAGGTCTCCATCACAGCCGGCACCCTTTTTTTGCTCCAATTGCTTTTCCTATCTGTTTTGCCCTCCTTTCCCCTGCCTGCAGAGCGGCCAGCAGTCTGAAATGGGACCGATGGATATATGCCATCTTCTTGCTTGAAATATGTTGTTAACGTTTTAATTGTTTTATCCTGATGTTTTTATGAAAGATGTACATCGCTCACATCCCGGCACTGCAGGGAATGGGTGATTAACAAATTTAATGAATAAACCAAGGCTCCCGTTCCACTGAAAACTGCTCACATCCCCCAGAAAAGTACCCAGGGTCACATACGTCCCTACAAACCCCTTCCCTCCCTGCCCATTTCCCCCAGGACTCACCGATAGAAAAAACATTGCTTTCTTCTTGGTGGATTCTGCAGTGTTCCAACAGCAAAGCACCAATGGGCTATAGACAGACCCAGAGAGAGAGAGAGAGATTCAGATGGATTGCCAGTTTGGGTGGAGATTTACTTATCTCGAGTTGGCACAATCAATAGTATTAATAGAATCCAGTCCATGCTGATCTCATGGCCTCTCTGGCTGCCATTAGCTCAGCTGCTCTGGTGTCACAGAGGGGCCTGTGCTTCCTGACTTAGGCACCGGAGCCCTCAAAGACCCAGACTTACAAGCTCCATGTGCTAGACCATACAGATGTCACTCCAGGACACTTTTTAAAAATTCTGCCTCCCTCCGATTTGCTCAGGGTGACTTATGTCCTCACAACAGTCCTGTGAGGTTGGGGAAGCAGAAGGAGAGGGTGACCGGCCCAAGGTCATCCAGTATGCTTCATGGCAGAGTAGGGATTGGAACCCAGGTCTCTACCAGTGTTCCCTCTAAGCTGAGTTAGTGTGAGCTAGCTCACATTTTTTTAGCCTGCAGCTCACCCATTTCTGTCTTCGCTCTGGAAGGATGGCTCCAGAGCAAACTGATTTATGCAGTAGCCAAATCGCTCGCTCACAACTTGAATGCCAGTAGCTCACAAAGCAGAATTGTTGCTCACAAGACTCCACAGCTTAGAGGGAGCATTGGTCTCCACAATTCTAAGTCTGGGAATCTAACCACTATACCAGGAGTCCTCAAGCTTTTTGAGCCTATGGGCACCTTCAGAATTCTGACACAGTGTGGTGGGGGTAGCAACTAAAAGGCTGCCCACAGCTTACCTTCAGGCACACAGTGACGATTCGTGTGTGGTGGTGGCAGCTGCTGCCAAAGCGGAATTTTTTAAATAGATGCACTGCCAATCAAATTTCCAATGGCCAATCAGAAGTCTTGCTGGGCAAAAGCCCGACCTTCCACTTTCTAAAAACACTTGGCAAGCACTGGCAGAGTAGGGATTGGAACCCAGGTCTCTACCAGTGTTCCCTCTAAGCTGAGTTAGTGTGAGCTAGCTCACATTTTTTTAGCCTGCAGCTCACCCATTTCTGTCTTCGCTCTGGAAGGATGGCTCCAGAGCAAACTGATTTATGCAGTAGCCAAATCGCTCGCTCACAACTTGAATGCCAGTAGCTCACAAAGCAGAATTGTTGCTCACAAGACTCCACAGCTTAGAGGGAGCATTGGTCTCCACAATTCTAAGTCCGGGAATCTAACCACTATACCAGGTGTCCTCAAGCTTTTTGAGCCTATGGGCACCTTCAGAATTCTGACACAGTGTGGTGGGGGCAGCAACTAAAATGCTGCCACAGCTTACCTTCAGGCACATAGTGATGATTCGTGTGTTGTAGTGGCAGCTGCTGCCATAGCGGAATTTTTTAAATAGATGCACTGCCAATCAAATTTCCAATGGCCAATCAGAAGTCTTGCTGGGCAAAAGCCCGACCTTCCACTTTCTAAAAACACTTGGCAAGCACCAGGAAAGGTGTCAGTGGGCGTGCACCACCTTGGGGAAACCTGCACTACATCTTACTATAGGCAATGCATACATGCCACTGCTGTTTGAATGACACCTCGAAGGCTGTCCTTGCGGCAAACAACTGCAAGAGGGGGCAAATGCCATTTTACCTCTGCTTCATCTGTTCGGAAGTAAAAAAGGAAATTGACAACCAGCTTCACAAGGCGCTTCTTCAGTACTGCAAAGAGAAAAGGACCTGTTCAGTCCCCAGTATGCTCATCAGCCCAGGGCTTAGAAAAGCAATACTGCAAAACACAGAGAGAGGGAGACTAGCCCCACACGTGAACATAAGAGAAGCCAATGTTGGATCAGGCCATCAGGACGTTCAGCAGTGGGGCCAGGACACTAGAAGCCCTCCCACTGTTGCCCCCCCCCAAGCACCAAGAATACAGAGCATCACTTGCCCCAGACCAAGAGTTCCTGTCTATACCTTGTGGCTAATAGCCACTGATGGACCTCTGCTCCATATGCTTATCTAATTCCCACTTGAAGCTGTCCATGCTTGTAGCCGCCGCCACCTCCTGCGGCAGTGAATTCCATGTGTTCATCACTCTTTGGGTGAAGAAGGACTTCCTTTTGTCTGTTCTAACCCGACCGCTCAGCAATTTCATGGAGTGCCCACGAGTTCTCATACTATGAGAAAGGGAGGAAAGGACTTCCTTCTCTACCTGCTCTATCCCAGGTATAATCTTATAAACCTCCATCGTGTCACCCCTCAGATGTCGTTTCTCCAAGCTAAAGAGCCCCAAGCACTTTAACCTTTCTTCATAGGGAAAGTGTTCCAACCCTTTTATCATTCTAGTTGCCCTTTTCTGCACTTTTTCCAATGTTATAATATCCTTTCTGAGGTGTGGTGACCAGAACCGTCCACAGTACTCCAAATGAGGTCGCACCATCGATTTATACAGGGGCATGATGATATTGGCTGATTTGTTTTCAACTCCTTTCCCAATAATCCCCAGCATAACACCCTGAACAACTTTGTGTCATCTGCAGATTTAGCCACTTCGCTGCTGACTCCGAACTCCAAATCCTTAATAAACAAGTTAAAACCCTTTCCCCCCTTTCCGAGACCCAAAGGGACCAGGGAGAGGGAAATCAACCCGCTTCCCGCACTGAGGACGAGTAACTTGAACAGCCCTGTTAGAGGCCGTTCTTCCCAAGCCGGGGAAAGGGTGGGGGGGGGACCCGGATGTGTCCCCGTGACGTCACACCACCCCGCGCCCCGCCTCTCACCGCTCCCCTTCTTGGGGGCCCGCATGAGGATCTCGGCCGCCTTCTCGGCCGGCTGCCGCGACAGCGAGAGCAGCTCCCGCTCGTTGTACCGCATCGCGCCCGGCCGCCGCGCCCCACCGGCGCCCCTCTGGCCGCCGCGCCCTCGATGGTGCCGCCGCCGCCCGCGCAGCCCTTACGCCCCGCCCCTTCCGCTCTCACTTCCGCTCTGAGCCGGAAGAGCCGCCGAGGTGACCCGGAAGTGTGTCGTCGTTGCGTGTGGCTGGCTGCGGATTCCGTCGCTGGTGGAAGGGGAAAGAGGCGGGAGAAGCGGCGAGAGCCCCGCTGAAGGGCAGGTGAGGAGGCTTGGATTGCGGGCGTCCCTCCTTTCCCCCTGCTGTACGTCTGTCCCCTCGGCTAGTCCTCAGTAGGAATGCTCCCCTCTCTCTCCGCCTGCCAGCTCGGGTTGCCGCCTGCCAGCTCGGGAAATTCCTGGGGATTAGAGGGTAGAGCCTGTGGAGGGACCTCAGCGTGGGTATAATGCTGTGGGGGGTCTTATCTTCCAAAGATGCCATTTTCCCCCCAGGTGAACTGATCTCTGGATAGAAGCATGGTGTTGGAAGGGACCCACGGGGTCATCTAGTCCACCCCCCTGCTACACAATGCAGGAAATTCTCAAATACCTCCCCCCGCACACACACACACAGTGACCCCAGTTCCATGCCCAGAAGATGATAAAAAGAACCCCTCCAGGATCTCCAGCCAAACTGGCCTGGAGAAAAATGGCTTCCTGACCCCAAAGTGGCAATCAGCATTTCCCTGGGTGTGTAAGGAAGGGCCACAAGAACTAAGCACTGATGCAGCCCTTCCTGCCCTCACTTCTCGTGATCTGCCTAAGTTCAAGATATTGGGTATCCTTTCAGATCTCCAGGCCCCACCGGGAGGTTGGCAACTCAGACTGCCAGTGCATGCATGCCCACAAAGTGCACTGTAAGTTAAGGAAAGCCCAAGGCTGTATCACTTTACTGGCTGCCCTGTCTCCTGGAGGCAAGTCTTGTACTTGTAATCCACCTCAAGTCCCACTATGAATGATGAACCAGTAATGAAAATAAATAGATGAGTTAAATTCCATAAAGGCAACCAGGCAACAGCCTCTTGACAGATTATCTGTTTAGGCTGATCTTCTCTGAGGGCAGCGGAATTTCATGTTTTATCTGTGCAACCACCCTGCGAGTTAGCTGAGGCTGAGCGAGAAAGAGCCTCTGGCCCGCAGCCACCGAGAGAACTATGGTGGAGTGGGCATTCGAACCCGCATCCCTCACAGCCTAATCCAGTTCTCTAACTTTTGCACTGCAATATTGTATTTATACCCAGCCTTTCTTCCCGCTGGGGACCCAAAGTAGCTTATGTTGTTCTCCTCTCTTTCATTTTATCCTAACAACAACCTTATAAGGTAGGTTAGGCTGAGAGAGTGTGACTGGCCCAAGGTCACCCAGCGAGCTTCCATGGCCCAAGTTGAACCCTGGTCTCCCAGATCCTAGTCCAACAGCACTACATCACACTGGGTCTCATACAGCCTTCCAGTGTGTTGATGATAACTGCCCTGGGGGGGTCTCCTGTAATGCTCTCACCTTTCTTTATCCTCCCAAGCACATATTTTTTGCCAACACCAATAATACAGTCTGAGAGTTGCAAATTGGCAACATAGCATTTGAACAGCCCAGCACCTGGCCTAAGACCCCTTGCTTTGGAGCTAACGTGCTGCTTTTTCCTGGTGCGCTCTATTCCTGTAAGTCTGCTAAGCAAATGTTTGTCAGACGATGGGGTTTAGTGGTGAGTGAGGGATCTGTGTTAAACTTCATTGCTTCCCTCTACAATGGGGTTCTTGAAAAGGCAGAGTCTCCTCTTGGGGTTTGCAATCCGCCTTCTTGCCAGGTGGTTACTAGAGAAGCTATATATATGTGGGGGGGGGGAGTTTCAAACTTGCAGGGTGGTAAGCTTTATTGGTGCTGTGTGATTTGGTCTGAGAAGGTTTTGAAAAAGTCCAATGGTGGAAATCTGCCTTAGCAGCTGAGTTCCTTTGAAAGTTGTCCCTCGAATTAGTTGCAGACAACAAGGGAATTATCCCTCAGTTCCTGGCCCCATCCTTCCCACCCACCCCATATGTGGAGCATTTCCTGTGCCTTAGATAGATGGCAACCCCCAGGAATCTTTCCCTCTCAGTCCATGACAATTCAGACCCGATCAGCATGTATTTAAAGTGAGGGTTTTTTTCCACATAGGAGCAAACAAAAAAAAAAAAACCCCAAACCATCCCAACTTTGAATATATGCTGTTAGGATCTAAACTGCTGGAGTCTGAAATGGAAAAAGATCTTGGGGTGGTAGTAAAAAGTTCTGTGAAAACTGCAACTCATTGTGTGGCAGCAGTGAAGAAGACAGACTCCGTGCTGGGGATTTATAGTAAAGGGGCCGAGCCTAAAACAGCCAACATTGTAATGCTGTTGTGCAGAGCCTTATTTGGAATCCTGTGTGCAGTTCTAGTCACCGTATCTCGAAGTGGATATTGCAGAGCAGGGGAAAATACAGAATAGGGCAACCAAGACGATTAGGGCATTGGAACACCTTTCCTACGAGGAAAGGCTAAAGAATCCCTTTTTGTTGTTGTTGTTCAGTCGCACAGTCGAGTTCGACTCTTCGCGACCCCATGGATCATCTCCCGCCAGGCCCTCCTACCGTCCTCTGAAGTTGGCTCAATTTCATGTTCGTTGCATCTATGACACTGTCTAACCATCTCATCCTTTGCCGTCCCCGTCTTCTTTGACCTTCAATCTTTCCCAGCATCAGGGTCTTCTCCAGTGAGTGCTCCCTTCTCATTTGGTGGCCAAAGTATTTGAGCTTCAGTTTCATTATCTGGCCTTCCAGGGAACAGTCAGGGTTGATTTCTTTGAGGATTGACTGATTTGTTCTTCTTGCAGTCCAAGGGACTCTCAAGAGTCTCCTCCAGCACCATAGTTCAAAAGAATCTATTCTTCGGCGCTCGGCCTTCCTTATAGTCCAACTCTCACAGCCATACATGACTACTGGGAATACCATTGCTTTGACCATGCGGACTTTTGTTGGCAGGGTGATGTCTCTACTTTTTATCATGCTGTTTAGGTTCGCCATCGCTTTCCTCCCAAGGAGCAGGCGTCTTTTAATTTCATGACTGCTGTCACAGTCTGCGGTGATCTGGGATCCCAGGAACGTGAAGTCTGTCACCACTTCCACGACTTCCCCTTCTATTTGCCAAGGAGTGATGGGGCCGGATGCCATGATCTTAGTTTTTTTGATGTTGAGCTTCAAGCCCACTTTTGCGCTCTCCTCTTTTACCCTGAGCAAGAGGCTCTTTAGGTCCTCTTCACTTTCTGCCATTAGAGTGGTATCGTCTGCATATCTGAGGTTGTTGATCTTTTCCCCAGCAATCTTAATTCCCGCTTGTGATTCATCCAGGCCAGCATTTCGCATGATGTACTCTGCATATATATTAAATAAGCAAGGTGACAGTATACATCCTTGTCGTACTCCTTTTCCTATGCTGAACCAATCAGTTGTTCCGTATCCGGTTCTAACTGTCGCTTCTTGGCCCTTATACAGGTTTCTCAAGAGACATGTGAGGTGGTCTGGTACTCCCATCTCTTTAAGGACCTGCCATAGTTTGTTGTGATCCACACAGTCAAAAGCTTTAGCATAGTCAATGAAGCAGAAGTAGATATTTTTCTGGTACTCTCTTGCTTTCTCCATAATCCAGCGAATGTTGGCAATTTGATCTCTAGTTCCTCTACCTCTTCGAAACCCAGCTTGTACTTCTGGTAGTTCTCTATCCACGTACTGTTGAAGCCTAGCTTGTAGGATCTTGAGCATGACCTTGCTAGCGTGTGATATGAGTGCAATTGTGCGATAGTTTGAACATTCCTTGGCATTGCCCTTCTTTGGGATTGGAATGTATACTGATCTTTTCCAATCCTGTGGCCACTGTTGCGTTTTCCAAATTTGCTGGCAAATGGAGTGCAGAACTTTAACAGCATCATCTTCTAAGACTTTGAATAGCTCAGCTGGAATACCATCACCTCCACTAGCTTTGTTGTTAGTAATGCTTTCTAAGGCCCATTTAACTTCACATTCCAGGATGTCTGGCTCGAGGTCAGTGATTATACCGTCGTGGTTGTCAAGGACATCGAGGTCTTTCTTGTATAGTTCTTCTGTGTATTCTTGCCATCTTTTCCTAATCTCTTCTGCTTCTGTTAGGTCCCTACCGTTTTTGTCCTTTATCATGGCCAGCTTTGCATGGAACGCTCCCTTGATTTCTCCAATTTTCTTGAAGAGATCTCTAGTCCTTCCCATTCTATTGTTTTCTTCTATTACTTTGCACTGTTCATTCAGGAAGGCCTCCTTATCTCTCCTTGCTGTTCTCTGGAAATCTGCGTTCAGTTGGGTAAATCTTTCCTTTTCGCCTTTGCCTTTCGCTTTCCTTCTTTCCTCTGCTATTTGTAAAGCCTCATCAGAAAGCCACTTTGCTTTCTTACATTTCTTTTTCTTTGGGATGGTGGTGATTGCTGCCTCCTGTACGATGTCACGAACCTCTGTCCATAGTTCTTCAGGCACTCTATCTATCAAATCCAGACCCTTGAATCTATTCTTCACCTCTACTGTATATTCATCAGGGATGCGATCTAGGTCAAACCTGAATGGCCTCGTGGTTTTCCCAATTTTCTTCAGTTTAAGTCTGAATTTTGCAATGAGTAGCTCATGATCTGAACCACAGTCAGCTCCAGGTCTTGTTTTTACTGACTGGATAGAGCTTCTCCATCTTTGACTGCAAATTATATAGTCAATCTGATTTCGGTGTTGCCCATCTGGTGATGTCCATGTGTAGAGTCGCCTCTTAGGCCGCGCATGCATGGGGTGGGGAAAACTTTGCTGTATGTTTATTTTTCTGTGTGTATTCTATCAATGTTTAGGAAAATAGGATTCTACTGTGTGTGTGGCAGGCTGACATAGCGTCTTGCGGTCATCTTGCCAGAAAAATCTTTGAATGTTCCTTTTAATAAATATTAGTCTTATTTTAAGAAGAGACCTAGTGATTTCCAAGCTTACACCTATGCCTTTGGTAAGGGGCAACACTCAGGAGACACACACGAACTGGGGAGGGAGAGTGTGGGTGACATGGGTAAACACGCTTTCACAGGGCACGTACAGCCACACACCCACATCCAAATATCTCACAACAAATGGACACCTTCTGGCCTGAGGGGCTCATCTTCCGGCGTCATATCTTTTAGCCTTTTGTTACTGTCCATGGGGTTTTCTTGGCAAAGATACTGGAGTGGGTTGCCATTTCCTTCTCCAGTGGATCACACTTGGTCTGAGTTCTCTGCTGTGGCCTGTCCGTCTTGGGTGGCCCTTCACGGCATAGCCCACAGCTTCATTGAACTGCTCAAGCCCCCTCGCCACGACAAGGCAGTGATCCATGAGGGGGAAAGAATCCCTACTGTTTAGAAAAAGGGTGACAAGGGGGAATGTGTTAGAGGCTTCTCAAATTATGTGTGGAGTGGAGAAGTGGAGAGAGCTTTTTCCCCCCTTCTCCCATAGCACTAGAACTGAAGTCATCCAATTAAGTTGATGGGCAGTATTGTCAGAACAGACAATAGAGAGCATTTCTTTACTCAATGGATAAGTAACTTGTGGCATTCTCTGCCAGCAGACTTAATGATGGGCACTGGCGTACATAAGAACATAAGAGAAGATAAGAAGAGCCCTGCTGGATCAGACCAGTGGTTCATCTAGTCCAGCATCCTGTCTCACACAGTGGCCAACCAGTTCCTCTCGCCATCAGTCGTTTAAAACCCCCAACCTCCACTTGCTTGTCCCGGTGTGTGTCTCTGCTTCCAGTACTGGAACACAGCGACAAGACCGTCGGGACATCGGGACGCCTCAATCCACCAGCAGCGTGCTGGGGAAGAGGCGACCCTTAGCGTCCCGTGGCTAGGAACCCCTCGCAAGAGCTCCAGGAGGGTGCACACAATCGCACCCCCTTTACATCCGCTGGTTCACGGATCGCATCCTCAGGAGGTCCCGAGAGACGCGTCCGCCATCAGAGTGCCTAAACCGGAAGTCATCTGCATCCTGCCTCACACAGTGGCCAACCAGTTCCTCTGGATGGCCAGCAACAGGACATAGAGGCCGAGGCCTTCCCCTGATAAGAACATCAGAAAAGCCCCACTGGATCAGACCAGTGGTCCATCTAGTCCAGCATCCTGTCTCACACAGTGGCCAACCAGTTCCTCTGGACAACCAGCAACAGGGCATAGAGGCCGAGGCCTTCCCCTGAAGTTGCCTCCTGGCTCTGGGAATCACAGGATTAGTGCCTCTGAATGCGGAGGTTCCCCTCAGCCACCATGGGTAATAGCCACTGTTGGACCTACCCTCCATGAATCTATCTAATCCGTCTTTAAAGCTGTTTATTCCTGTGGCCATCACAACATCCTCTGGCAGCAAAGTCCACATTTTAATCACTCTCTGCGTAAAGTAGTATTTCCTTTTGTGTGTCCTGAACCTACTGCCCACCAGCTTCACTGAGTGCCCTCGAGTTCTAGTATTTTGGGAGAGGGGGAGAAAGTTGTTCCCCTTGTCAACTCTCTCCACCCCATGCATAAATCTATAAACCTCTATCATGTTTCCCCACCCCCTTAGTCCTTTCTTTTCTAAAATGTAGCTTTAGCAGGGGACCAAGCAAATTCATGGAGGAAATTTCAATCATGGCTACTAGCCATGGTGACTGGAGAGAACCTCGGAATACCTGGGCCGGGAGGCAGCTTGTTGGCCAGGTTTTTGGTTGGCCCCTGGGAGAAACGGGATGCTGGACTAGAGCTAGTCTGGACGAGAGTATTACGTGCAAAGCCCTGCTGGCCTTGGTCTCTCTTACCTGCCGGACCACCTCTCTCCCCCTATGCTCTGCCACGCCCACTTCACTCATCCCAGCAGGGCCTTTTGCAGGTACCCTCCTGCTAATGGGCAAAATCGGTAACCGCCCGTACTCGTGCATTCAAGTGTTGTGACAAGGGCAGGAAGGCTCCCGCTCTCCTGGCTTTCTGCAAACCACACCAAGCAGAATCATTCAGGTGGGCTTCCGCACAAGTTCAACAGAACTGTCCCGCAACGAAACCGTCAGAAAGCTGCCTTGGTAAAGGGACAGGGACCGTGACCTGCAGCACTGTAATCTGGGAGAACGGGGTTCGATTCCCTACTTTTCCACATGCAGCTGCTGGTGTGACCTTGGGTCAGTTCCAAGTTCTCTCAGAGCTGTTCTCTCGCAAGCAGTTCTCGAAAGAACTGTCTCAGCCTCACAGGGTGTCTGTTGTGGTGAGGGGAACGGAAGGAGTTTGTAAGCCGCTCTGAGTGAAGGGCGGGGTGTAAATCCAATCCCTTCTTCTTCGTCTTCATCGTCTTTGTCTCCTTCTACCTAACACTGTATTTTCCAGACTAGGTCATTTCTACACCGCTTAACGTAGCATGTTTAAAAGCTCATGCTTTGTTCCCACTTCTGTTTGAGATTTCTGTTTGTTTGTTTTTAGATCTGTTTGCTTTTAGATTTCTATTGTATCGCTTGTTGAACATCCTGTCCTGTTGATTGTACTTGATTAACACTATGTGCTCTGCCTGGAGTCTTAGCAGAAGAGGTAGACTGTAAATGACCAGAGTAAAATAAATAAATAAATAAATGAAATATAGTCTGATCTAGGAGGGTTGTTCTCATATTCTTAATTTAAAACTGGCTCTGTGTGAGCTGGGTGGCTTAAACACCTCTCTCTCTGTCTCTCTCTCTCTCTCTCTTTGTCCCCTACTCAGTCTTTTCTCCTTGGTAACACTGAAGCACAAGAGCGTCAGCTATGGATTTTCAGCACCGTCCGGGAGGTAAAACGGGAAGTGGAGGAGTCGCCTCAGCCTCGGAGAGCAACCGAGATCGCAGAGAGAGGCTAAGGCAGCTGGCCCTGGAAACGATCGATATCAACAAGGTGGGTTTCTTGTATGGTGGAAGGAAGCCAGGAAGCAATTGTCTGTAGACAGGAAGCATCAGTTGCAGCCCACTGATCCTACAGGAGGAGGAAAATCTAGTTTTGTATCCCAGCCCGTCTGGGTTTTTTTTGTGTTTTCATTTTCTGTGCATAGACCCTTCAACATCCCAGAGCTCTAAAATCAACCTGATATGTACACCAAATCATCAATGAAGTACAGCTTGTAGAAATTCAATAAAAAGTATCAGCTGTAATGACTAAGAAATACCAGAACAATAATTCCTTTAAAAAAAAACACATTTTAAAATTTTTATTCTACAAATACATAAAAACAGTATAACTTCCAAAATTTGCAGGTGTTGACAAGATTTTCAGCGGTTTCAAAGTTGTGTGATAGAAACATATGATTTTAACAACCACAGACAATTTAACTAATTTCTTCTGCCATCGCTAAAGATCTCTGACTTCGCTCGGGATTTCTTCCTGCCGAATCAAATAATCTAGAACGGGAACCCAGACGGCAAACAAAATGAGACTGACTGTTACGTGAATCTGCTTGAAAAAATAATTCCTTTTCCGTATGGGTGAGGAATTGGCAGCAGTGTTCCCTCTAAGCTGAGTTAGTGTGAGCTAGCTCACAGTTTTTTAGCCTCCAGCTCACAGATTTTTGTCTCTGCTCAGGAAGGAGGGCTCCAGAGCCAACTAATTTATGCAGCAGACAAATTGCTTGCTCACAATTTTAATGCCAGTAGCTCACAAAGTAGAATTTTTGCTCACTAGGCTCCATAGCTTAGAGGGAACATTGATTGGCAGCTAGAGGCATTTGGGCCAGATCTGAGCCATCCCTTTTGGTGGCAACCTAGGGGGGAAGGGGGTGTTGGCGTGGCAGGCTGAAGGAGCTGGCTCCCAGCTGGCAGTGGCAGCTCGAAGGCAACTTGGAAACTTGGGCTGGTTCCAAATGCAGCAGCGAGGTTGTGAGCAGGTCTTGGTGAAGTTGCCTTGCCAGAGTTGGCAGCTTGTTTCGGGACCCAACTGAGGTGCTGGTTCTCACCTGAACAGTCTGAGGTTGGGGTCCCTCAAGGTGACCAGTGTTCCCTCTAAGCTGAGTTAGTGTGAGCAGTATTCGGTGGCGGCTCCCACCTGGTGGAAGGAGCTCCCGGAGGAGATCCGGGCCCTGCGGGACCTTTCTCAGTTCCGCAGGGCCTGTAAGACGGAGCTCTTCCGCCGGGCTTTCAAGTAGGAGCCGCCGCCACTTCAATCCCACCACCGATACATTTGCAGCATCGCACCACTACCATGAATACGTGGTTCCATCTGGGTGCGAGGTGACCCTGGAAGGAGAGGGTGCTGACAGGTTGTGGGACCAATGCCATTTGAGGAAGTTCTGCCCCATCTTGCACTGACACTTTGCTGTTGTGCTGTATTGTTTTATGGTTTTAGACTGTTTTGTCTGTTTTAATTCTGGCACTTGTGGAAGTGGAATTCTGAAACCTGCCATCCATCCAGTGTTCCCTCTAAGCTGAGTTAGTGTGAGCTAGCTCACAGTCTTTTAGACTCCGGCTCACACATTTTTGTCTTGGCTCAGGAAGGAGGGCTCCAGAGCAGTGTTCCCTCTAAGCTGAGTTAGTGTGAGCCAGCTCACCGTTTTTTAGCCTCCGGCTCACAAATTTTTGTCTTGGCTCAGGAAGGAGGGCTCCATAGCAGTGTTCCCTCTAAGCTGAGTTAGTGTGAGCCAGCTCACCGTTTTTTAGACTCCGGCTCACACATTTTTGTCTTGGCTCAGGAAGGATGGCTCCAGAGCAGTGTTCCCTCTAAGCTGAGTTAGTGTGAGCTAGCTCACAGTTTTTTAGCCTCCGGCTCACACATTTTTGTCTTGGCTCAGGAAGGATGGCTCCAGAGCAGTGTTCCCTCTAAGCTGAGTTAGTGTGAGCCAGCTCACCGTTTTTTAGCCTCCGGCTCACAAATTTTTGTCTTGGCTCAGGAAGGATGGCTCCAGAGCAGTGTTCCCTCTAAGCTGAGTTAGTGTGAGCTAGCTCACAGTTTTTTAGCCTCTGGCTCACACATTTTTGTCTTCGCTCAGGAAGGATGGCTCCTGAGTAACCTAATTTATGCAGCAGCCAAACCGCTCACTCACAACTTAGATGCCAGTAGCTCACAAAGTAGAATTTTTGCTCACAAGACTCCACAGCTTAGAGGGAACATTGCTCCAGAGGAAACTAATTGATGCAGTACCCAAATTGCTCGCTCACAGCTTTAATGCCAGGAGCTCACAAAGTAGGATTTTTGCTCACGAGACTCCACAGGTTAGAGGGAGCATTGAAGGTGACCCCTGCCTGCTCTCAGACAAGCCTGCCCCTAAAATGGCAATTAGCCCCAGAGGCTGTGCTTAGGGTTCCTCCCCATCCAGGGCGAAGGAGGGGCTGCTTTCCCACCAATGACGGGGCCTTCTCTGTTGTGTGTCACCTTGTTTTCAGAAATACCTTCTCTTTCATCCTCCACCTGTCCCCCCAACCAGTGCTCCCTCTAAGCCCAATTAGTGTGAGCCAGCTCACAGTTCTTTAGCCTCCGGCTCATACGTTCTCGTCTTCGCTCAGGAAGGACGGCTCCAGAGCAAACTAATTGATGCAGCAGCCCAATCGCTCGCTCCCAGCTTGAATGCCAGGAGCTCAGAGAATTTTTGCCCACAAGACTCCACAGCTTAGAGGGAGCGTGGGCTGCAACCTAACGATTTTTCAAAGTTTTAGTTTGTTGGGGGGGGGGGTTACCCCCAGCCTTTTTGTTGACTCTTGTCTGGGTTTTTTTTTAATTAGATGTGGTTTTTAACTTTTTAGTTTTTATGCCGCTGCTGTTAGATTCTGGAAACGATTCCAATAGTACAGTTGTTAGATTCTCCTGTTTTTAAATGTGTTGATTTCTTCACCATTTTGGAAACCTGTTAAGTGCTGGGATTGGATGACACGAAATAAATATTCCTTCTGATTTCCCTTTCAGGATCCCTATTTTATGAAAAATCACTTGGGCTCTTACGAATGCAAGCTTTGCCTGACACTGCACAACAATGAGGTGAGTGTCTGCTTTTGTCCCTCTGGGCCCTTCCCAGCCCCGCCTGCTCTTTGGAGCTGCCATTAATTTTGTCCTCCCTTTTCTGTTTCTGCAGGGAAGCTACCTGGCACATACCCAGGGGAAAAAGCACCAGACCAATTTGTAAGTCTCAAGCCCGCCAGCATAGTTACCCGTCCCTGCTCATTCTGCCTCTCTCTGCTTGCAAAATGGATCACAGGGCATGGAGTCCTTTGCTTGCGAAATAACTTTTTCCCCCTTGTTCTGAGCCAGGTGGCTGTAAAGTTTTTAAAGAAAGCTGAAATAGTCGTCGGCCCAACTCCAAACATGCATATGAGGAAAGGAGCGAAGCAATAGCTTCAAGCGTTGACTTTAAAAAAACAACAACAACAACACTAAATCTTATTCACTTCAGTGCACCCAGCTGCAGTTCATTTACCTGCAGTGAACATCAGAGGGCTGAGTAACGGTAGCCCAAGGAGCAAAGCAATAGCTTCAAGTGTTGACTTTAAAAACTACAACCCTAAATCTATATAATGCACTTCAGTGCACCTAACTGCGGTTCATATACCTACAATGAACTTCAGAGGGCTGAGTAACGGTAGCACCTCTGGGAAAGCTTGCAGTAGCATTGAGTTATCTGCCCAAGGAGCAAAGCAATAGCTTCAAGTGTTGACTTTAAAAACAACAACCCTAAATCTATATAATGCACTTCAGTGCACCTAACTGCGGTTCATATACCTGCAATGAACTTCAGAGGGCTGAGTTACGGTAGCACCTCTGGGAAAGCTTGCAGTAGCATTGAGTTATCTGCCCAAGGAGCAAAGCAATAGCTTCAAGGGTTGACTTTAAAAACAACAACCCTAAATCTATATAATGCACTTCAGAGAGCCAGTTTGGTGTCGTGGTTAAGTGCGCGGACTCTAATCTGGGAGAACCGGGTTTGATTCCCCACTCCTCCACTTGCACCTGCTGATGTGGCCTTGGGTCAGTCACAAGCTCTGGCACAGCTGTCCTTGAAAAAGAGCAGTTTGTGTCAGAGTTCTCTCAGCCCCACCTACCTCACAGGGTGTCTGTTGTGGGGAGGGGGAGGGGAAGGAGTTTGTAAGCCGCTCTGAGACTCCAAGTGAAGGGCGGGGTATAAATCCAATCTCTTCTTCTCTCTCAGCCCCACCCACCTCACAGGGTGTCTGCTGTGGGGAGGGGAAGGGAAAGGAGTTTGTAAGCCGCTCTGAGACACCTTTGGGTAGTGAAGGGCGGGGTATAAATCCAATCTCTTCTCTTCTTCTTCTTCAGTGCACCTAACTGCAGTTCATATGCCTGCAATGAACTTCAGAGGGCTGAGTAATGGTAGCACCTCTGGGAAAGCTTGCAGTAGCATTGAGTTATCTGCCCAAGGAGCAAAGCAATAGCTTCAAGTGTTGACTTTTAAAAACAACAACCCTAAATCTATATAATGCACTTCAGTGCACCTAACTGCGGTTCATATACCTGCAATGAACTTCAGAGGGCTGAGTAACGGTAGCACCTCTGGGAAAGCTTGCAGTAACATTGAGTTAGCTGCTTGAGGAGCAGACTTCACCTTATGTATTTATTTATTTATTTATTACATTTATGTCCCACCCATCCCGTAAACGGGCTCAGGGCGGGTCACAGCATTTCAATATATACAATAAAATTTAAAACTAAAACATTAAAACTTCACGTATCCGAGCTAGGCCTTCTGAAGGTGCAACCCTGCGTTTCAGCAAGATCAGTAAGGTCCGTGTAAAGTAACCATCTGGTCTCCCAACCGTGGTCAGTGGGAAGGTCCCAGGTGGTCTGTGGTACAACAGCCATGCTCTGTCTGCCTCCAGCAGTGACAGGTACACTCCCTCTAGTAATGCTGACTCCACTGCGGCACATACCTCTCGCTAGACCTCTCCACGACCAAATTTGCTCAGTCCCTTTTTTTAAAAAGTCTAAATGTAGCAGACCACACCACACCACTTCCTTGAGTTTATTTTCTTTCTTTGCCTTCTCTTAAAAACATTGCTTATTTCCTTGCCTCAGTTTCCCCTCCAGGCGTCTCTTTTGCATTCATTTGCTGGTTCGCGTAAATGCCCAAAGTGGCTTACCATAGCATTACACAGGCACTAGAATCCCCCTGAAATACGCCAGAAGCCATCAGACTTCACCAATGCAACTTGTGAAACTGCAGACGTTAGAGCTTAGAGATTATGCATGGGATAGAGCAGGTAGAGAAAGAGGTACTTTTCTCCCTTTTCTCACAATACAAGAACTCGTGGGCACTCAATGAAATTGCTGAGCAGCCAGGTTAGAACGGATAGAAGGAAATCCTTCTTCACCCCAAGAGTGATGAACACTTGGAATTAACTGCCACAGGAAGTGGCGGCGGCTACAAGCATGGAGGGCTTCAAAAGGGAATTAGGTAAGCATATGGAGCAGAGGTCCATCAGTGGCTATTAGCCACAAGGTATAGATAGGGGCTCTGGGGCAAGGGATGCTCTGTATTCTTGGTGCTTGGGGGGGGGGCAACAGTGGGAGGGCTCCTAGTGTCCTGGCCCCACTGCTGGACCTCCTGATGGCACCTGGTATTTCTGGCCACTGTGTGACACAAAGTGTTGGACTGGATGGGCCCTTGGCCTGATCCAATATTGGTGTCTCTTATGTTCTTATGAGCTGCATCGGACTGCCATAGCAGTGAGGCCCCAGATGCCAAAAAACATAGAGCCCCAATTCAGTGTCATGAAGGCCAGGATACAAAACTGGCCCAGTGCCAAAACGACGATCAGGAAGATCTGATGAGGTAATCAGAGCAACCATGGGACATCTGCTTCCTGCCCTCTGGACACCACAAAACTCACATGAAGCCTGGGCAGAATAATGTGGGAAGGGGAGAGGCTGTGGCTCAGTGGCTAGGCTTGCCAAGTCCCCCCGGGGGGCGGGGAAACCCCCACCCCAGAAGCCCGTTCCCCGCCGGCGGCGGATTGGGGCCCGGGGGGAACTCCACCCCGATGTGCACGTCGCCCGGAAGTGACGCGGGCACGCTGGGGGCGGGGCCATGGTCATCCGAGGGAAAACTGGTTTTCCCTCGGATGGTGCCCCCCGCCCCCGGGCCCCCCCACGCCACTCTTGGGCGACGTGGATGTTGCGCGTGCGCTTTGCGCACGTGCGCTTCAGCCGCTAGCTGGGAGTCCCCCGCTGCGGCTCAGTTCTCACTTGGCAACCCTATCAGTGGCTGAGCCCCTGCTTGGCATGCCGGAGGTCCCAGGTTCAATCCCCGGCATCTCCAGTTGAAAAACTCATGTCGGAGGCAATGCTCCTCCTAAGCTGTGGATTCTTGTGAGCAAAAACTCTACTTTGCGAGCTACTGGCATTACAGTTGTGAGCGAGCAGTTTTGCTACTGCATACATTCGTTTGCTCTGAAGCCATCCTTCCTGAGCTGAGACAAAAATGTGTGAGCCGGGGGCTAAAAAACTGTGAGCTAGCTCACGCTAACTCAGCTGAGAGGGACCACTGGTTGGAGGTGATGTGAAAGACCTCTGTTTGAGACCCTGGAGAGCCACTGCCAGTCTGAGCCAGTTTGGGGTAGTGGTTAAGTTAGTGCGCAGACTCTAATCTGGGAGAACCGGGTCTGATTCCCCACTCCTCCACTTGCACCTGCTGGATGACCTTGGGCAAGCCATAGTTCTGTCAGAGCTGTTCTTGAAAAAGAGCAGTTTCTCTCAGAGCTCTCTCAGCCCCACCTGCCTCACAGGGTGTCTTGTTGTGGGAACGGGGAGGGGAAAGGAGATTGTCAGCCGCTCTGAGACTCCCTTGGCTAGTGAAGGGCGGGGTATAAATCCAATCTCTTTTCTCCTTCTTCTGAGTAGACAATACTGACTTTGATTCAGTGTAGAGCAGCTTCATGTGGGTTCAACGTGCCTTCTTGGTGCTTGTTCACTGCCACAGGAAGTGGTGGCGGCTACAAGCATGGACGGCTTCAAAAGGGAATTAGATAAGCACATGGAGCAGAGGTCCATCAGTGGCTATTAGCCACAAGGTATAGATAGGGACTCTGGGGCAAGGGATGCTCTGTCATCTTGGTGCTTGGGGGGGTCATCAGTGGGAGGGCTTCTAATGTCCTGGCCCCACTGTTGGACCTCCTGATGGCACCTGGTATTTCTGGCCACTGTGTGATACAGAGTGTTGGACTGGATGGGCCTTTGGCCTGATCCAACATTGGCATCTCTTATGTTCTTATGTTCTCTTGGCACCGAAACTAATAAGCTGACACCAAGAGAATCTCTGTGAAGAGGGCAGTGGGCAACTGGGGAGCTACCACCGAAAAAGCTCCGTCTCTCAAACGCTTTCTGGAAACCTTAGAAGGCAGTTAACAGTGGCTCGGAAGCTCTCCATTCCCCCACCTCCCCAGCTTTTCCAAGAAGCAGGGAATGTCTGGAAGCACATCCCGCCCCCAAATCGACAAGGAGGCCTCTCTGGCAGGACGTGACCTTGTTTCTGTCTCAGGAGTAACAGTTTCCTGGCCCCCTCGGCCATCTCCCCCGCCTGATAACAGGCCGTCTACGCAGACCGCCTCCGGTTTCGGGCGGAGGGTAGGGAGCTGGACCTCTCTGCAGACAGCGGCGCGTTTGTGCGTGGTTTTCATCTGAAGGCTATTGTTGGACGTCTGACGCTAGTTTTATACTTGGGAGGGGGGAGAATACTGCCCTCAACACCAGGTGCAAAGAAAATTCCACAGTCAGGATATGGACCGCAGCCAATGTTCCCTCTAAGCTGAGTTAGTGTGAGCCAGCTCACGGTTTTTTAGCCTCCGGTTCACACATTTTTGTCTTAGCTCAGGAAGGATGGCTCCAGAGCAAGCTAATTTAAGCAGTGACCAAATCACTCACTTGCAACTTTAATATCAGTAACTCACAAAGTGGAATTTTTGCTCACAGGAAGGAGAAGAGGAGATTGGATTTATCCCCCACCCTTCACTACCCAAAGGTGTCTCAGAGCGGCTTACAATCTCCCTTCCCCTTCCCACAACAGTCACCCTGTGGGGTAGGTGGGGCTGAGAGACCTCTGGCAGAAACTGCTCTTTTTTCAAGAACAGCTCTGATCAGAACTACGGCTTGCCCAAGGTCATCCAAAAGGTGCAAGTGGAGGAGTGGGGAATCGAACCCGGTTCTCCCAGATCAGAGTCCGCGCACTGAACCACGACACCAAACTGACTCCACAGCTTAGAGGGAGCCTTGACCGCAGCCAAACCTCTGGGTGGAGGGCTCTGAAGGAGCAGGGAGCAGGACAGCTGGCGTGACGCAAAGAGTCCCGGGTTCAGTCTGTGGCCTCTCTGGTTAAAAAGGTCAGGGGAGCGAAGGAGAAACCTTTCCTCCAGCAGAGAGCCCGCAGGCTGTACTGAACTAGGTAGGCCGGTCGTCCAGCCCTGCCAAAGGCTTTTTGGTACAGAGGGTGCACAGTTGGGTGGCAGAGTATCTGCTGTGCCGGCAAGAGGGGCCCAGGTTCCAAACCAGGCAACCTCTAGTCCAGTGGTGGTGAACCTATGGTACGGGTGCCATCGCCCCAGCCAGGCCCAGACCATCATTAAAGTGTCGAATTCTCTGCCAAATAATTATAAGTAAATGAAAGCATCTGGGATTGCTTTCCTTCCTTTGTTTGGATCATCTTAAATTAATGTAGGAGTGGTTTTTTCTAAAGTAAAACCTCAGTATTCAGGTTAAATTGCCGTATCGGCCGTTTGTGATAAATAAGTGGGTTTTGGGTCGCAGTTTGAGCACTCGGTCTCTAAAAGGTTCGCCATCACTGATCTAGTCCGAGAGCTCTGCTTGAAACTCCTGAGATTAAAAGAAATAGTCCAAATATCAGACTCTTAAAGCTTATTACATTCAGAGTTGATAGTTATACTTGTCCAATTGATGGGTAAAACTTTCGACCAATAGACCATACGCGTTTCGACCCCTTCGGGCCTTCCTCAGTGGTCAATATTTCTATTGTATAACACACATCCAGAAATGAATGCATTAAAAAAAATTTTTTTAGAGAGCCAGGTGCTGCTTTCTGAAATTGTCGAAACAAGAGGAAACGGCCAGATTATTAGATATCCAAGGCATATACTAAATATCCATAATAATAAATTTAAAAAAATACCAGGACATTTTTACTGGTGTTACCTCATACGCTTTGCAGTTGCTAAAAGTTCATATAACGGGCCCTGGATAGTGACTGCACAAATTCTCCAAGTTATTCTACACAAAAATAGAAATCGTATAATTGTTAGAGAGTCTATAAAATAGTCTCATTCTAGAACGATTTCGGCCAAAGATTACTTGAGGTAGCCAACGAACGAAGCCATAACAGGGCAGCTTCTCAGGAGAAGGGACCCCAGACCAGAGGAAGAGCACCTGCTGGATGAGCCAGAGGTTGCGTTTAGGACAGGAGCCCCCCTACCTTTTTGAGCCTTGCAGGCACCTTTGGAATCTTGGGACAGTGTGGCACAAAATGGCGGCTACGGGAGGTAGAACCAGCCCACGGTATGTCTGCCGCAGCCTACCTTCAGCCGCGCGGTGGAGAGCCTTGTGCTGCGATGGTGGCTGCGGCAAAAGCAACGTGTGTTTTTTTTTTTAATCTGCCCGGCTAATCAGCTCTCCAGTGGTCCAATCAGAAGCCTTGCTGGGCCCAAGCCCCCGCCTGGCCCAGCTCATTTTCTAAAAACTCTCAGTGGGCCCCCAGGAAAAATGTTGGTGTCGTGGTGAAGTGCGCGGACTCTAATCTGGGAGAACCGGGTTTGATTTCCCCACTTCTCCTCCACGTGCGGCTGCTGGTGTGACCTTCGATCAGTCACAAGTTCATTCCGAGCCGTACTCTCAAGGGCAGTCCTCGAAAGAGCTCTCTCTCAGCCCCACCTACCTCACAGGGTGTCTGTTGTGGGGAGGGGGAGGGAAAGGAGATTGTAAGCCGCTCTGAGACGCCTTCCGGTAGTGAAGGGCGGGGTATAAATCCAGTCTCCTCCCCCTCTTCTTCTTCATCTCCTCCCCCCCCCCACAAAGCAGCTCACAACATCATTCTCCATTTTGTCTTCGCAACAACAGCCCTGTGAGGCAGGTTGGTGGAGTGTGCGTGACGGGCCCATGGTCACCCAGCATACCTCCATGGCACCGTGAGGATTCGAACCAGGTCCAGCCCTCCCGACCACTACGCCAGGGCTGGCTCTGCTCTGCCTCCTCACCCCCATCTAGCATTTACTTATTCATCTGCTTCGTTTGCACCCACCTCTCTCTCCACAGGGACCCTAAACAGCTGACCTCCTTCTCTCCCCCATTTTATCCTCACAATAACCCTGTGAGGTAGGTTAGGCCGAGAGAGGGCATCCAGCAAGCTTCCAAGGCACAAGTGGGGATCCGAAACTGGTTCTCTCAGATCCTCCTGCCCTGCCCTGCCCTTGCTCTCTAGTAGACAGCCCTCTGCAGTGATTCAGCCTCTTCTCCCGGTGGGGGCATCCACTCACAACCCGCTTTCCCCCACCTCCTTTCTTTCCCCCCTCCCCCAGAGCTCGGAGAGCTGCCAAGGAAGCCAAAGAAGCCCCGGCCCAGCCCGCCCCCGAAAAAGTGAAAGTCGAAGTGAAGAAGTTTGTGAAAATCGGCCGGCCGGGTTACAAAGGTAGCAGGCAGCCAGGCTGCTCTTTCTTGGGTCTTTGGTTCGCACGTTTGGGCCTTCTCTGTCTAGTGGGAGCCAGCGCTTGCTTTATTTGTTTATTTAATTTGGGTTTTTTTCCCCAATAACATTTTGCTGTAGTCCATTACCATGGTTCGAGTATGTACAAGTCACTCACCTTATCAACTCACTGACAACTCACTCAAATCTCAATAGATCACTTACCTCTTTGGAAAGTCTCCTGAAGCTTGACCAGAACATATTTTGGTTTCTTAACCGCCCTTCCCCACTTGCGCGCGGGGCTCAGGGCGGTTTACAACAACATAACATCCAATACAAATGTCGAAACCAGTTAAAACGACAGAACTCCAGATTAAAACATTCGGCATAGGTATTTAAGCGCTTTAAGAAGATGGCATATTTCACGTACGGATTTTTAGCATTCAGATTTTCATAAGGGGAGGGGAGGGTGCTGGGAAGTTGTAGAGGAACCGTCGCTGGCCTCCACCGAAGGCCTGGCGGAACACCTCTGCCTTGCATGCCCTGCGGAACTTTAATAGGTCAGACAGGGCACGGATGTCGTTCGACAGAGAGTTCCGCCAGGCTGGGGCCAAGCCTGAGAAATCCCCGGCCCTGATCGAGGCCAGCCGGATATCTTTGGGGCCGGGAATCACCAGGAGATTCTTACCTGCCCTTCGAGTCATAGGACACTAGACCTCGTTATGACCCTGGCTGGGGGGTTTGGGGCACGGCAGGGAGGTAACGAAAAGCACCGTGTGAATTCTGCAATCCCTACGAATTATGCAAATGCCCATGTCCATGCATGATTTATTCTGGGTGGGGCAGTCCCTGAAACCTGGTCCCCAAGAACTGAGCATCTTATTCCTGCAGGTCCTGGCCTTGCACTTCCAGCTGCTGCTCATTGGCCACAGGGACTAGGATCTTGCTTTCTTTTTTAAGTTCAGCTTCTCAGGGAGCTGGGTTTCATGCAGAGCCCCTGGTGCATGGTGAGCGCCGGATACAGCAAGGTTGTGCCGCCCTTCACAGCAGTTCTTTCTCCCCTCTCCTTTCAGTGACCAAGCAACGGGATCCAGAAACATGCCAGCAGAGTCTTCTCTTCCAGGTATTCGATTCGCTGTGGCACTTTTCACCTGCTGCTCTCCAGTGGGTGCAGATATTTAGACAAATGCAAATGCATTCCGGCCCAGGAACTAGGGTCAGGAGGTGACCTTGACCGAAGAAGCTCATCTGGTGGGTATGTGAGACGGGGCCTTTTTGGTGGCCGCCCCACGATTATGGAGCAACCTCCCCAGGGAGGTGCGTCTGGTACCCTCGCCTTCTGTTTCGCTCTTTAGGAGGCAGCTGAAGATCATTTTCATGACAGCATTTGATTGTTTTCAGGTCTTCCAGCTACTGGCAGGTTTAATTCACTCCATTTTGAACTGGTGTTTTTTATGTGTTTTATTGCTTAACTAGTGGCTGTTCATGCGCTTTATTATTATTCGTGTCGTAAGCTGCCCTGCTCTGCGTAGCCCATCTTGTCATATATCAGAATGTAGCCATTCACTTAACACTGGAGAAGAAATGCCGTTTCTCTGCCAGGCCGTTCTTAAAGGTAAACACTCCCAGTTCGGCCGTCTGACTCCTCCTGCTTCCAAACAAAATATCAACACAAGATTCTTGCTGGTGATTGGCTTCCGGTCGGGCTAAGGTGGAGGACTGACACACTTTCGCGATTGTGCAAAGTGAGCGACGGCCGCTTTTGACAGTTTGGGCAGTTTTTAGCCCAACGCATCGCTCCCCAGTGAGGGGGGGGGTAACAAAATATCAACACAAGATTCTTGCTGGTGATTGGCTTCCGGTCGGGCTAAGGTGGAGGACTGACACACTTTCGCGATTGTGCAAAGTGAGCGACGGCCGCTTTTGACAGTTTGGGCAGTTTTTAGCCCAACGCATCGCTCCCCAGTGAGGGGG